GCTTCATTCTAGAGTTGAATAACATCATTTAATCCTTTTCTTTGTTTTTTTAGGTTCTTTTCATTATCCTCTTGTCATGCAATTGAATATCCTCAAACTCACACAATTGAATAAGTCGCCTTTCGGAAGCATCCTTTATATCAAATCATTCATAATTTTTTATAACAATTATATCTAACAATTTATACATTTTTTTTAGCAAAAAAAAAAAAAAATTTATACATTTTTTTCTCTAAAAGCATTTTCAAAATAAAGTTGTCTTTGCGTTTTCTTTCATCCTTACTCCTAGTCTTTCTCATGCTCGTTTTTGTTATAGGTTCATTCGTTGCTTTTATCATAATAGCATCTAAATATTTACATATATCTAATCATTTTTGTTTTAGCATATAACCATCAGCATGTCTTAGTATTCTTGGTTTTAGTAACAATAGTGTTTTAAATTTACATTACTCTAAACTATAACTAAAACAAAAGAAATCAATGTATATTAGCAATCTGGAATTTACATCCTTTATTTACATACTCTAAAAGTATGCTTACTAAATTGGACAACATTCTCGAAAATCGAATTCAATTTTGTGACAGAGATATACACCAACATTTGACTAAGCATATATATTTTTTTTCGCACGGATTACAAAAATATTATTTATATATTTTATTATAGTTTTATAACTTATCTATGTTTTCTATCATTTTAAATTTTAGTTTTGAGAATTAGCTATATACTACTTAGCTTACTAGTGTTATTTTTTGACATTTTTGAATGAATGTAAAACTATTATTCAATCAAATCTTTTGTACAATAGATATTAATTTAAGTTGATCATAATTTGAACACTTATTTGAAAAGAAACAGAGCATCCCGGAAAAAGGAAACAAAGTATCGTTAGCCAAAGTCATCGATTCTTGTTGAATTTTATGAGACTTCCATGGCAAATCACATGATCATGACTTCATTGTAGGAGATATCCCCTGCAATTCGGATCGAACTAATCATGTTCCTGACATTCTTATCAATCATCTTGATGAGACTATTAGCAAGGGAAGGGGACTCACTGTGTCGACAATTATTTCGTTCTCTCCAAATGTGGTACAAGATTTTCCAGGAACGTATACTAGTTTGATTTTGTATAAACAGCTTGAGTTTGTCATAGTTTGAGGTAGAAAGTAATGGTGTGATTCGATCCCATTCGATTGAGACACTACAAGAAAAATCACGTTTTGACCATTTTTCAGACCAAATAAATGGTCCAAATGTCTTCCGACCAATTTCTGACCTTCTTTCGACCAATCTAATAAGTAGTCCGGATGTGGTCGGAAATTTCCAAACATATTATATTGTCGTAAAGTTGTCGGAGTTTTCCAACCAATTTCCGATCATATTAAAATCTATTGGGTGATAATCAGAAAATAGTAAAAAAAATGGACGGCCTATTTTTAAAATATAGCCGTTAATGACTGTTTATCGATGGTTGGGAGGTGGTCGGGATAC